ACCATTTGTACCAAGATTTCATGCACGTTTTGACGTAGACGTCTAACTGTGTTGGGGTAGTTGTAAAGACGCCAAAAGGAGAATTCTGTGAGAGAAGAGAGTCTTCACAACCAGTAGTTGTCTTAAGTCGTTTCTTGCTTTGCAAGGTGTTTGGTTTGGTTTTTGAGGGATCATGCCTAGTTTGTGTCATTAGAAACGTTTTCTTCTGTTCCCAAAGGAACATTTCTCCCTTTCTTTTCTACATGACAAGCAAAGAACTCTACCCCTGAACTACAGCATTCTGTAATTGGAGAACACTTGAATTAGTGTTTTTCAAGTTTTGCTGTGTGGTGGTATCACCTGGAAATCTTGTGAAATGAAGATACTTAATCATTAAGCCTAAGGTGGAAGCCAGACATTCTGCTTTTTTATTTTGTTTTTGTTTGTTTCTGTTTCGAGATAGGGTTTCTCCAAATGGCCTTGGCTGTTGTAGAACTAGCTCTGTAGATCTGGCCTTGAACTCACAGACTCCACCAACTGAATGAATGCTGGGATTAAAGGAGAGCACCACCACTGCTCCACTGAGATCCTGCATTTTTTAAAGTTCCCATGCAGTGCCGCCGCCCCTGATCATAGTGAGGGTCAATGTACAGCACCACCCATCTTTAACTGGTGAGGGTGGAGACGCAAAGGAATGATCCCCAAGTGATGGAGCCAGGAATGGATACTTACTGTACGGATTTGAAGCCTTTATGAAGTACTAAGACGGCTTTCCAAATATGTGCAAAAACTGCAATCTTTTTGTCCTCTAAATTCTGACCAGTTTAAGACAGTCATCTATTTATTCATCACTTAGATTCCCCTGGTACTGTGCTGGCTGAGCAAATGCCTGGAAGAGGTAGGGCTTGAGCTGAGTCTGAAAGAATGTATAGACTTTGAACGAACAGGTACACAGAACAGCATGTGTGTGTGAACGTGATGCAATGAGGCTGATAGGAAATGACTTTAAACACTGCCACACTTCAGTGCGTGGTTAGAGAATGAGAGAAAGGCTGTAACTGTCATGTCTCCAGGGGCTCTTAAGGGAGCTGCAAAATTTCAGAACCAAACATTGATTAAAGACCCATATAAAGGTTTGGTGTTTGGTTTGGTATTTAGACGGGGTTTTCTTATGCAACCCAGGCTAGGCTGGCGCTCAGAGAATCCAGGTTGACCGTAAGCTGATGACTCACTTGCTCTGCTTCCCCAGTGCTGGCTGCAGGATGCTCCACCATGTTTAGCAAGATTTATTTCTTTGAAAGCAGGAGCCTTTCATGGATGTGATATATAGGAAAGGGAAAGGGAAAGCTGTGATGTAAATGTTTAATTAGGAGCTCTTGCTAGGCTTCATGTGACAAGGATCGGGGTCAGTAAGTGGCTTTAGAAATAAAGCCAAAAATGACTGGCAGAAAATATTACCCAGGTAAAAACATTTTTACTCTTCTTTTTTTAGTTAGACATAATTGACGAATGGTAAATTTTTGTAAACAGCAAAAGCTTTCTACTTATTTGTCATCTTTATTTTTGTAGAAATCTACCAGAGAGGCCTTGAATAATAAAAATATCAAGCCATTGTTGAATGCCTTCAGTCAGTTACCTGGCAGGTAAAGCACATTGTCCATGAAAAAAGACTTCATAAATGTTTATATTACTAGTGAACTATTTGTGAAATGAAGGTGTTTTGTTTTGTTTTTAATAGTGAAAATGAAAAAAAATGTACTCTTGACCAAGCTTTCAGAGGTGTTCTGGAAGAGGAAATTGTGAGTATTTTTCCTGTTATTTGTTGTTAAAATTTGCTGGCCAGTTAATAAGCCATATTACTAGAAATTGCTTTATTATTAGAATATTTAAACGATGACATCTGTTTTCTGAGCATGAGCACTCTTATCTTGTAGAATCGGCATTGACAGGATAGGAGAATTTCCTAATTAAGGCCTTTGATAGCTCAGCTACAGTTTAAGGCTTTGATCATGAGGAAAGTTTTGACATTCCATCGTAAAGAGCAAGAAGTAAAGACTGACCCAGGAAGATGGCTCAGCAGGTCACGGTGCCTGCCACAGAGCTCCATGGCCTGACTTTGATCTCTAGATCATAGTTGTCCTCTGACTTCCATATACACACAGGAACACACACACACTTTGCTATGTAAATGATGACACTGTAATGGCATAAGTGGTCTAGTCCAGGATGTTAAGCATAGAGCTAGGAGTCCATGCCCTCATTTTCTTGTGGATCTTCCTCATCCATAAGCATGCATAAATAATTAAGGCTTGTGAAAAAGTTTAATCCAACCATGAGGTATTTAAATACTGCCTTTAGCAGGGATCCTGAATGAAAGGAACTTTTCATAGTTTATTTTTGGTCAAGCAGAAATTGGGTTCCATAGTGGTAGAGTCTCTTCTGATAGCCATAATATAGTAACCCTCTTTTTACTCAGATAAGTCTGGGTAAGACCAATATTCTTTTTTTTTTCAGACGTAATCACTTCTCTGTTTGAGGTGCTGCGAAAATCACTTTCCTTTCGAGCTCTGGCAGGGTGCGTTCTGTGATGCTCACTGTTACAGTTTGAAGCACCTAAGCACTGCCTCCCTGCATAAGAGCTCAGCCAAGGCTCCAGTGTCAACATTACATTAAGTCCAGGCCCTGCTTTTAGCTTGTGCTCTTGACATTTAGTCACAGCCTTAGACCTTCTGTACCCAGTGAGCTTATAGTCTTAGTCCTGCAGAAGTTACCATTTTCCCAGGCATGCTGGATTTTGATTGACTCACTCTTTACTGCTTGACATATTTTATAGTATGGTGTTCATGGGTTTTCATCTTAGAAAATAATTTTGTATAAAGTATTTTTATTCCTGTATGACTGCTTAATTTCAGAGAACTTGTCTTTATTGTTAACAAATTAGTTTGAATTCTAATGAAATTGTTTCTCTGTTGGTAGGTAAATCACTCAGCGTGTGAGAACGTTTTAGCTATTATTTCTCTTGCTATTGGGGGAGTAACTGAAAGTAAGTATTGTTCTCTGTTTTTTAAAGTTGTTTGTATATGGCCTGTTTGGTTTAAAGCCTCTCACCATACCTCTGCCCCTTTCTGGTTCTGTTCATTCTTTATGTTGGTGCTGGAGACTAAACACAGGGCTACATACATGCTGTTCTCCCTCTGACCTGCATCCCAGCCCTCGTTCATTGTTTATCTCCAACCTTGGCCAAGAATTTAATACTTATTTCAGATTAGCAGAAGACTTATTTCTCATCTCTATTATGTCATGCACATTTGCAGTTTCTTTGTTTTTCAAGTGTTTTAATTATATACAAATACGTACTGAACATCTATTATATGTCTAATACTACATTAGAATTTGGAGATTCAGTGGTGAATATATCATAGAGCCCTCCTGTAAGAATCTAATGGGTAACGGAGGAAAGAAATGTATGGATATTTTACTGTGCTATGCTTTTTTTTTT